TATATATATATGCTTTAAAAAATTATGTTACAAATTAATGCGTTAATTATAATGCAATTAACTGAGTTTTGATTGTTTTTAACATTACGATTTTTCTCGTTTCATTGTTAAGAGTTTCAACATTTTTTTCGTGTATTGTTAATTTTCATGTTATAATTTTTCGAGTTGATTTTTCTTTTTATAAGACTTCAAAACCGCTCGAGTTTTTTTTTATTATAGAAATGTAACAGTGGTAAGAATTTGAAATGTATGGGAACATATCACTTTTAGTTTGTTGATTCATTGTAAGGCCCACTTCCACAACTTACGGTTAACTCTTAACCGAGGTTCAACTTGTTTTTTAATTTATAACAAACGTACAGTTAGTAAACAATTTCAATAAAATTGGGATTCATATTAATTAACATATTGGCTGTAGTTATTCTTAGTTCTTCATTTGTAAAATATTATAAACGGCTGATTTCTATGCTTCCTTACTTTCGTTAAGCTTTTGCATAAAATAACATTGGTGTAACGCATAATTAGATCAACAGGACGTTGCAGTTGCAACGAATGCAACCTCTGTAATGTCGCATAGAAAATATATTTGTAATTCAATATATGTATATAGTATTCTCTCGTTTCTCGAGAAGATTGAGTCCCTAGATGAAGAAGCTTACGCGATAGTGCCATTTTACGAAAGACTTAAGTGCGGCAGGACTGCATATTCGATTGTATGTACATTTAATAAGTGCACCTATTTAATTCGGCTAAATGAAGAAATTATACTTAATCCTTTTCACAAGTCAATTATACTTTCTACCACGTGTTCTCTGACTCGCTAGATATTCGTTTCATTTTCAATTTCGTTCTGTACAGCTGAAAAAGCAGATTACGCGAATTAATATATGTTATTTAATACTTTAAAGTATCGCGTATCGCTTTGTGTGTATATATATACATATATATATACATTATACATATATATATATCTATATAGGGTGTCCGGAAAATCGCCCGCAATATTTCGGGAAGTGATTTGGGACCCAAAAAGGAAAGAAAACTATATAAACATAGGTCCGGAAATAAGTCGTTTCCAAGTTATAACCACTTTTATGTTAAAAAAATTATAATTTATTTTACATAATCACAATCATAATTTACTTCATAGTGTTTTAACTACATTTCGGACTAGTTTGGCGTTACCCAGGATGCACCACCCAAATTACTTCTCGAAGTATTGCGGGCGATTTTCTGGACATTCTGTATATGTATAATATATACATGTCTCCTAATGTAAGAATCTGTTAGTGACACTACAGCGACGAAGAGACTAGGATGTTTATAAGCAATCACAGATACATTTAGATGATGATGCCCAGTAGACTACATTTCTTTCTTTTTCGATTTATCGCGTTTTATTTTCTAGATTTGGCCACGATGTGCGATTATTGTAATATTCAAAAAGAAAAAGCAATTAAATTTCAACTTATACGATATTGAATAATAGTCTGTATATGATACAGCACACTTTTATCCAAGGGACATCCTATAGGAACATCTTTAGGACGTAACGACATCTTTTGGAACATCTTTAGGGATGCGATCCACTTCATGCTGCAAATGTTTTGAAACATTCTTTGATTGGTCAATTCTTAAAATTCTATCTTCTGATTGGTCAACGAAGTATTTGCAGCGTTAAATGGATTACATCATAGGACGCCCCTTGGAGACCTATGTTGTGTGAATAGTATCCAGTCTTTATAATAGCTTGCAACGATAAATAAACATACTTCCATTGTTTAACGCATATACCATCCAGAATTTAAATTGCGTTGCTAATGGCATACGAATGACAATTAAAATAATTTTAACTTATTATTATTTAATTACTAATAATGTACTCCGCTATAATATTGTTTAGAAATGTAATCAAAATGATTATTTCTAGAATATCATGAATGACAAAAAGTCACTCGTGCTTTGCGATAAAAATCGGAAAAATTGTCAGAAAAAATTTTAATCGTAAATTTGTAACAAATGGAATGAACATTCATTCTAATGCCAAGATAACATTTTTCGGATATAGAAGCAACGATCTTTACATTACATTTTAACTTACGATTTTGAATGTGACATCTGTGGAAATTGATATATACATAAATACGAGTTTTGAAAAAGTCAGTCTGTTAATTTCTTAAAACCTATTATATATACGTAAAAGTAAATATACATATAACTGATTCTCCAATAATTTCAATTCCTAATTCAAGCTGCGTTATTCATATAATTAATTTTATTTCTTGATGTATTCTTGTTTCTTGATATTGCATTAAATATGTCCGTAGGAATAAAATTTACAATTTTGTATAAATTTGATGG